CTTGGTTATGTGTTCAATTTCAAGTCAAGGTGACGTCATATTATTCTTTTAGCTAATTATTTTTTTGGGTAAATTACGAAAAACCCCCTAAATTTAGGCTAAATTACAAAAAAATACCCCACCTCTCCGATCCATAATTAACAAAATCCCTCTGATCTCTGTTTTCATCTAGGGTGTATTTTGCAATTTAGCCTAACTTTAGGGTTTTTTTCGTAATTTAGACTCACTTCAGTTTTTTTTTTGTAATTTAGCCTAACTTCAGGGGTTTTTACTTAATTTACCCTTTTTTTCCCTCTACCAGGGTATATGGATTGGGATGATGATTGGAGTTGTCACTGAAACAGTAGCACTTAGCTTCATGACATGGAAAACTAATTGGAATGAAGAGGTAATTAATTAGCAATTAGCAAAATTCATACTTATTTTTATATATACACACATATTCTTTTTCTCAAACAAATTCTTAGTTACTAATAAACGAAAAAATTGCAGGTATCGATATCTTCAGCTCGTCTGAAAAGATGGTCCTCGAAATCGAGGGATGATAATAAGCAACATTCTTGATCATGCTTCAGTTGGTGTTGTGGAAATTATTATTATTATTATTATTATTTCTGAAAAATAAGTGCATATAAGTGAATAAAATAATGGGTAAATTACAAAAACCCCCTTGAACTTAGGCTAAATAACAAAAAACACCCCTACGTATACGTAATTACCAAAAAACCCCTAGAGGTTTGTTACCGTCTCATACCAAACCCCTTACTGTGTGACTTTTCGAGGATTTTTTTTTTTTAATTCCAGGGAATAGACTTTACACAATTATATTTTCTTTTATTTCTCACCTATTTAAAAAAAAGTATAATAGACTGTACACAGTTTTTGTTAAAAAACTCGTTCAACAGTTAATCAGAGGGGGATTTTGGTTGTTACTGATAGATGAAGATGTTTTTTGTTATTTAGCCTAAGTTCAGGGGATTTTCGTAATTTACCCATAAAAGAATTAAAAAGGCTACTTAAGCATATTTTGAGCTAACAATAAGGCAATTTAACATCTTACAATTTTTTTTTTTTTGGAAGTTAATTACTGAAATTTTCATAATTAGACCAAATTGAACGTCAGGAATATAATTATCAATATTAATGTAAATAATGAAATTAAGTGGCTGCAGTTCATTTTAATGTAGATTGTACTATTTGATTGTAACAGGATTCTTGAATGTTGGTTCTTGTCTTCATCTTTCCCTTTCACAATTGTCTGGTTATAAATTAGTGTAAATAGCACTTAGACCCTTGTGGTTTGAACTTTGTGCATATGATCCCCTTGTATTTTAATACAAGTACATAACCTCCTCATACTTTCAAATATTCCATCTTTGTAATAAACATGATTATTTACCAAGTGGAATAATACTATTGGGGGTCATGTGCTTATATTGCAAATACAAAGGGGTTATATGCACAAAGTTCAAACTACAAGGGGTGATGTGATGATATCGAAAGTACAAGAGGATCATCATGTGCACAAAGCTCAAACCATATGAGTTTAAGGTTTTTTTTTTCTTTTTTTTTTCAACGGAGTTTAAGTGTTATTTACACTATAAATTATACTTAATGACAATGTAGTCAAGTTTGCTATATCAGTCATCATTTGCTTTCTTTGTCAAAACAATCATACTGAAATAATTAATAGGGCAAATTACAATCACCCTTGAGTTATGGTCAAATTACGAAAATTCTCTCTTGTTTTGGTTATTACAGTCAGCCCCCTCAATGTATTATCTTATGAAAATACCCCTCCATAAGTAAATTTAAGGATGTTAAATCGGTAAAATCGAACCGAAATTTCGATACGCCAACATTTCATACCGTTTACCGAACTGCATACACGATTTGTTTCGGTAAATAACAAAATTACATAAATTTTATGTAAAAATATTTAAAAGGAGGGGTTGATTGAAACTACCCAAATAATAGGAGTTTTTGCATAATTTGGCCATACCTCAGGGGTGACCGTAATTTGCCATAATTAATATAATAAAATTTAGAATTTAAAAAGGAAAAAATTAGGCTCGCCTATTGTGACTTTTCTTGTAGTAATGAAATTTTGTTCTTTCCTGTTGTTTTCCTAACCACATGAAATGTTTTGCTCCAAAAGTTGAACTTTGCTTTCTTCTCATTCAAAGTCAATTATTATTTTTTCCATTAAAAAAATTGTGAATCACAACAACTCGAGATAATGTGGCGTTGAATTCAACAGAATCTTCTAGATTCAATAGAATTTATTTAATTTGTATTCGTTTTGTGTAGAAATGCAGTTTGTGATGTACCACAATCTGATATTTAAAAGTTAAGAGACATATCTTATAATCATCATGTTTAAAAAATGTGGAGCTCGAATTGGGTAAAACGTATAATTTAGAAGATTCCACTAAATTTGACACCTCAAGAGTGGACGTGTAAGAAGATTCATAGTTGATGGGTGGTTGTAATCACCAAAATATGAGGATTTTTTTCGTAATTTGACTTTATCTCAGAATGTGGCCGTAATTTACCCTTCAAAATTTTGCGAGTTATAGAAAAAAAGAATCATCCAAAGAATCTGACAGAGCAGTGGTCCATATAACTTTGGAAAATATAAAAAGTGACAAAACTTCATTTTGAAGCTGTCTGAGTGCCAAAGGCATATATTCAGGTAATGTTTTTGAACTTAGAACTTCATTCTTCTTCACAAAGAGAAGGTTTCTTTTTATTTTTAATTTTTTTTTATATATATACATATATGTATATATATAATGATATTAACTGTTTTTTTTTCTTTTGGTGTTGTGATTAATGAATGCAGACCAATGGAGAGCAATAACATACAAGAGAGTCTGCTAAGCTCAAAAGCAGAACAAGAAAAAGGCGATTTAAAGGGAAGAATTTTCGAAGAGTCGAAGAAAATATGGAGAGTTGCAACTCCGAGTGTGATTTCTCGAGTTTCTTCATTCGGAACTATTGTCATTACACAGTCGTTTATCGGACACATAAGTTCGGTTGATCTTGCCGGTTATGCCCTTGTCCAATCGTTGAGTGTCCGATTTGTCAATGGCATATTGGTAAATTACCTCTCCCTTCTTCATATTTTTTTGTATCTACAGTCAAACCTCTATATATTAATAGAGCCGGGACTAACAAAATTCTGTTAATTTAGTGAAATATTAAATTATTGAACTAATAATTTAGTAGGTTTTTACCGAGTCCGGACCAGAAGAAACTATTACTTAAGCGAGGTTATTAATTTATCGAGTATTAATTTATTGAGGTTCTACTGTACTCATAATGTTAGAGAATTTCTCCGAGTTTTTTTCGTTCCATATTATCTTAGCTTTCATTTTAGAGTTCCAATACTGCACTTAATCCGTTTTTTTTCCTGCCCATTTTACCCTTATTAATTCAACTCTAGGTACTAACTCTCTCTTACCAAATCATTAAATGTTTTTTTCCTAAAACCGAGCCCATTATTTTCTCTAATTCACCGTTGTTTAGTACCTCGATTTTTTTTTTAAAAAAATTACTATATCTTTCCTTTTTTGCAGCTTGGAATGTCGAGCGCAACCGAAACTCTCTGCGGACAGGCATTCGGCGCCAAACAGCACCACATGATGGGAATATACCTCCAAAGATCCTGGCTTATCGATCTAATCACACTAACGCTCCTACTCCCCGTTTTCATATTTACCACGCAAATATTCAACCTACTCGGCGAAGAAGAAGAGATCGCGAACTCCGCCGGTTACATCTCCCTATGGTTCATTCCCTTTGTGTACGGCCTTATTTTCAGCCTCACGATACAAATGTACTTACAAGCGCAGCAGAAGAACATGATCATTGCATGGCTGTCGGCCATGCAATTCGTTATCCATGTCGTTCTATCGTGGCTCTTTGTGAACGTGCTCGATTATGGAGTCTCGGGTGCAATGGGGGCGTTGTGCATATCTTCTTGGTTTCTTGTTTTGGGCGAGTTCGCGTTTATTCTTGGCGGTTGGTGCTCGGATACTTGGAAAGGGTTTAGCGTGGCGGCTTTGAAGGATTTATTGCCGTTGGTCAAACTTTCAGTTTCGTCCGGTGTGATGATTTGGTACTTATTTTTTTTTCATTTTTATTGCATTTAGTACCCCTGTATTATATTGAACTGCTAAAAAAAACCCCTTATAATGCAATTTTTTTTAGCACGCAACCCGCTAAACAGTGAGTTTTTAGGGGGTAATTTACTAAAAAAATTGAATCGTAGGGGGTTTATGGTATTATTAGAAATACACGCCGAAACCCAAAACCCGTTAAACAGTGAGTTTTTAGGGGGTAACGTAATTTACTAAAAAAAATTGAATCGTAGGGGGTTTATGGTATTATTAGAAATACTCGGGTGTTGAATGCAATAAATTTACCCTTGTATTAATTGTTGGGTAGTTTTATAATTATGAGGAAATTAATTAATTTCTAACACCATATTATAAGTAAATGTTACATGTATAATGTGTTCTTTGTTGTCTTTAATGATAGCTTGGAATTGTGGTACTATGCAATTTTGGTGTTGCTAGCTGGATACATGAAAAATGCAAGGGTTTCAATAGATGCCTTCTCTATTTGGTAATTCCCACCCAAAAATAAAATTAAATATATTTATATATATATATTTTCTCTAATTTTAATTTTCTTGCAAATGATGAAAAATCGAATCTTTTTCGACAGCATTAATATCACAGGTTGGATATTCATGATCATCCTCGGCATCATGGGTGCTGCATGGTTAGAATTTCCATCGTCCGAAAAAAAAAATGTATATATTATTTCAAAATAAATAAATAATAAAAATGAATTGTCGTTTATATTTAAACTAGCGTGAGGGTGGCGAACGAGCTAGGGAGAGGAGATGTGAAAGCTGTGAAATTTTCGATAAAAGTGCTGATGAGCACTACAGCTATAATAGGTGTTTTCTTCTGGATTCTTTGCTCTGTATTTAGCAAAAAACTCGGCTACTTATTCACGAGCGAAGAGGAAGTCGCACAAACCGTTTCCGATCTTGCTCTTCTGCTCGGGATTACGGTTTTGCTCGGTAGCATCTACCCTGTGCTCTCAGGTGCAAATGTAGCTATATTTCTTTTTTTAAAATTTTTTATTTTTATTTTACTGAAGTATTTGTGAATTCAAAATCTCATAATTTAGCTCCGATTTTCGAATATCTTATAAAATTCGAATTTTTCGATTTCTTTATCAGGTGTGGCTGTAGGAGCAGGTCTGCAAAGTAAGGTGGCAATAGTGAATTTAATTTGCTACTATGCAATTGGAGTGCCAATTGGTGTTGTGCTTGGATATGTGTTTAATCTTCAAGTTCAGGTAACACATTTTATATAACATTGACTTGCCGCACGTAACATTTTATTACAAATAAATTAAAACGAGAATTTGAAATCGGAATTTTAATCGACAGGGTATATGGCTGGGATTGACCAGTGGAGTTGTAACTCAGACACTTGCTCTTTGCTTCATGATATGGAGAACAAATTGGGATGGAGAGGTAAAATTAAAATCGAAATAGACATCGATATATACATATACATATATATTTTGCACGTAAAAGTAATGAACATATGATTTATGTTTTTTTTTAATTTTCTTACAGGTATCGAAAACTTCAGCGCGTCTCCAGAGGTGGAACATGAAATCTTCAGATGGGAATAAGCAGAGTTCTGATAATCAGCTAGCATGATCACCATGTTTATATATAACCAAAAAAAAAAAAAAGAAAAAAAAATTCTACGATCGAAATGAAATTATTCTTGTCACAGATCATTTTATTACAAGTTACAACTATGTCTTGTAGTATTTTGTGCATGGCGAGTATCCGTCGTTCTGCAGAGGGTGCGTGAATTTTTCGTAGTTCTTTAGGGTTGCATTTGACTATGTGATTCCCTGTTTTTCCTGCATGTATGGTAAATAATATGGAAATGCATCATTCTCAGAGTGTAAATAAACAATTATCACTACCTTTTTTTTTTTTTTTCTCCTGAGGTAAGGTCAAATTACGAAAAAATCCCTCATGTTTGGGTAATTACAACCACCCTTCAACTATGAATCTTCTTACACGTCCACCTTTATGGTATCAAATTCAACAGAATCTTCTATAGTCCGTGGAATATTCTCTAGTCTGTACTCGTTTTGTGCAAAAATACAATTTCTGATGCACCGCAATTTGATATTTACAAGCCAAGATACACATTTTATGATCGTCTTGTTTCAAAATATGGAGCTCGAATGAGATAAAACGGGTACAAACTGGAGAATATTCCACATAATCTAGAAGATTCCACTAAATTTGACACTGCAAGGGTGGACATGTAAGAAAATTCATAGTTGAAGGGAGTGCTTGTTATTACCCAAACATGAGGGGGGGTTTTCGTAATTTGACCTTACCTCGGGGGCGGCCGTAATTTACCCTTTTTTTCTTGTACCTTATAGCTTCTTTGGCTGTAAAAGCTGCAATGGTGGCGAGTTGATTCACAAGAACGAAATCTCGTTGAAACATTGCCCTTTTGTTGAATATGGCATCTGATAAAACAACCGACATTGCTCCGCTACTAATATATTGACATACCGAATCTGTAAATCAAACTGTAAATATCAGTCTATTCGTCAATAAAAATTCGTATAGATACACATTAGCAACGATAAAAAAAATAAAATTCCGAATACTCGTTTAGAAAATAAATGAGAAAAAGCTGACCTAGTGTTATGCCTTGTGACGCAACCATCGGAATATGTGGAAACGGCTTCTTCACCGCTGCCATGTACTCGACGCCACCTAATGCAGAGACAGGATATACCTATTACACATACATAACATAAAATAAGGAAAAATGGATTATTTCAATTTCGGACATAATATATACTAAGTTAGATGGACACGAAGCAAACCTTGACAATTCTTGCTCCGGCGTTGGATGCAGATAATATCTGCATGATCACATAATTAATTCGGTCCAACCTTTATTTTTATTTTTAATTTTTGTAATTAACATGATTTTGTGTCGAATACTGAAAAAAAATGCTATTTTTAATTTGAATGACGGAAACGAAAAAAAAAAAGTTAAATTAAAGATACCTCTGTTGGGGTAGTTGCCCCGGGTATATATAGAGCCTGATACTCTGTAACGTCATCTAGAATGCCCTTTGACCATCAAATGTTATCGAACAACATATTAATTACATCATTTGTTCGACATAAATAGAAATAACATGATAACGTTAAGTTAGAAATATTGAAATAATACAATGAAACTTCATCTATACCTTCACCATTGCGGGACTCATTAAAAACTTAGCACCGAGTCTTAATGCAACTTTCGCATTTTCTCTATCTAAAACGGTTCCAACCTGCAATATCCAAAAGTCGTGAAGTGCTTAAGTAAATAATGAACTCAATTGCAATTTTATTTCCCGAAAGTTAAACGGTCTCGTTATAAGAACAAATGAACTCCACATACATGACTCCGTACTAGAATTTTTTATAAGGCAAGCAGAAGAATTTCATTATCTTCACTTTGCAGTTCAATTCATCACGAACTTTTTGAAAAATTATCTTCTATTATTTTGTGAAGTAATAAAGAATGATATTACGGCCTCAGAAACATTGAAAGGAAGGGTAAATTACAAAACACTGATGTATGATCAAATTATGAAAAAATCTCTTCTGTTTGAGTAATTACAAACAACCACTCAATTATGAATCTTCTTACACGCCCACCCTTGCGATGTCAAATTTAGTGGAATTTTCTAATATATATGGAATATTCTCCAGTTTGTACCCGTTTTATTCCATTCGAGCTCTATATTTTGAAACAAGATGATCATAAGATTAGTCTCTTGGCTTGCAAATATTAGATTGTGGTGCATCAGAAACTGCGTTTTCGCACAAAACGAGTACAAACTAGAGAACATTCCACAAAATCTAGAAGATTATGTTGAATCTGACACAATAAGGGTAGACGTGTAAGAAGATTCATAGTTGAGGAGTGATTTTAATTACTAAACATGAGGATTTTTTTCGTGATTTGACCTTACCTCAGACGGTGGCCGTAAATTACCCTATGAATAGGGCAAAACAAAACCCCGAATACTAGAGACGAGCACATCGCAACTCTACATGTACGAACATCTAGCTTAGATATCATGTGTAACATCAATTATCCAGTCATATAAAACATCACCGGAAACTGCAAACAAGGAACTCAATCCAAGATGGGCAAACTTTAAATCCGTATAAACGGCTTGAAAAGTACTTACTCCTATCGACAATGCAGGATATTCTTGGACCAAACATTCCAAAACCTGTGCACAGAAACAAGAAGAACAACAACAGAATAATATTGGCTGATAAATCTCTAAGATTAATGCCTAAGCAATGCAGGGGTCTAAATTTAAATTTAAAATTAACCTCGAAAACACCCGGGGTCGACATCGTAACTTCCAACTGCAAATCGAAAAGCACAACATCTGTTCAGAACACTCTAGTAATTCATTTCATTTAAGGTTGGAATTTTCATATGTAAGAAGTAAGAATTAGAAGTGAAGACTGAATAAGAATTAAAACAGATTCCAATTATACTTACAACTGATATTCCACCTCTAAATGCAGCACGTGCAGCTTCAATTGCTACCTCTGCACTAAACAGAACAATCAAGAAAAAAGTAACCTAAACTACAAAAACAGAAAAAAAAGAAAAAAAAAAAAGACGCATCTTTTTTCATCAAGCACATAAACCCAGAATTGTTCTAATTGATATATAGATACTGGGTACTGATGGTTTGACCTTTGGGCGCGGAGGCAAGCAATTATGCCGGAATTCTGAATGTCCATTAAAACTCTGTCGGAAATCTTACTGGGATATACATCGACGGAATTTGTATTGCAATTTTGGCGCCGGGAACGAAAGCAAAAAGGTTTGCCGAGATTATGTGGTGCGGCTGTCGGAGAATAGAAGGTAATATTGCGAGGCCAAAGGCCGACGGTGTTTGCAACGGCCATCATCACTAATTCAGACAGTCGATAAGTGTTGCACACAGACCAAGAATGTAAATGCACGTATGTTGTTTGTGAAAATGCTTGTGACGCATTCCGAAAGGCAAAATAAGTTTTTGGGCAACTTACGATTACCTGATGTAATGTCAAATTACAAAAAAAAATTCATGTTTGGGTAATTACTAATTACAATAATTTCCTTAACAATGAATCTTTTTACACATTCATCATTGCGGTGTCAAATTATAGTAGAATCTGCTGGATCATATGGAATATTTCCAATTTGTATCTATTTTATTCCATTCGAGCTCCACATTTTGAAAGAGAGTAAAAAACAGTTTGCCCCCTAAATTAAGGGCCGTTTTGCACTTTGCCCCCTAAACAAAAAAAAAAATTGCACGTTTTTACCTGAACTCATTTATTCGTTGCACGATTCCCCCTGAACTAAATTTTCCGGTAATTTTGACCGGAATTCTAAAACATGTGCAGTGCACGTGAGATTTGCGGGGATAAATTTGTCCATTCACATTCATCCTATATATTAAATATAAATTAATAGTTTAAATTAACTAAATAAATAAATAATCAAAAAAAAAAAGAAAAAACAAGAAAAGCTGTAACTCACCAGCCTCCCAAACCCGAGCCCAGCCAAAACATCTCAACACAAATTTCAAAAAATCAACTCAAAGCTCAAAACCTCATTTTCTTCCTTAATCTTTCATGTTTTTGTTCTTATTATTTTTCTCCACAAAGATGGCGTCGATTATACTACCCATCTCTCACCAACCAACCAAAACAATTATTTAAAAAAAATACGACTGAATTTATTATTTGCAAAATCAAATACTTATATGTATAATAATATACTTCACACAGAAAATCGTTCCGGTTGAACTCCGATTCATATAGGCCGCCAATTAACTGCATCCATGATCCATCGCGACAAAAGACGAAGATAATCTGACAATTAATAAGTGAAAGGAAGATACGCGCCTAATATTGGAGGAGATGGAGTGGACTTTAATTTTTCCGGCGGGTGAACGTACGGCGGCGCGGCGTAGAAACGAGTGAGAAAACCGTTCAGTTTTTTTTTTATTGTTGCAGAGATTTATGAGAGGGGGGAAGTGGACTTTTTTTTTTCCTTTTGTTCTGTTTTCGTTCAATATTTTTATCTGCGTTTTTATACCCGAGTATATAGGGTTTTTTGCAAAAACTATCCTTGTGTAAACTCTAATTGTCGTAAAAGTCCCTGTGTTAAAATAATTAGCAAATACCCCCCTATAAAATGTAGTCAAAGCCAAAAACCCCCCTAAAAGCTTTTCGTGTGCTGCACGCGTGGGTTGAGCGATTGGTGGTGTGTTTTTTGACCTGAAAAGACACAAATACCCTTTAATCATTTTTTTGAAAATTACATATTCATCCTGAAATTTGTATGAACCAAAATGAAATTTTCATAATTTTCGATTCAGTCCCTGACAATTTCAAAAACACCATCTCTCCAAATCATCTCATCCCCAATTGTTTCGAACCCACCACCATGTTCACGCACTAATTGGAGGAGGAGAAGCCGGAGCCCAATTTCAGGAGGGAGCTGCTGAGACCCTTTGCCGTACAAGGAGAAGCTCGACTACTCCATCTCCGTCGATTACACCATCCCTTCTCCATTCTTCAAGCCACCCACAAACCCCACGATTCCAGAAACAAAATACAGCACCTTCCCCAAATATAATATAATTCGATTAGAACAACATAATTTTATTGTTTTGGGAGTTCACAATCCATTTCCATGTTTTAGGTTGACATTCGATTTGAATAAAAAAAAAAAATGAACTATATTTAATTAGTTGATTGGTTCTTGTTTCAACGAACGGAGGGACCGTGAGGTGATGGGATTTTGATGGTGGTTTGATGATGGCGGAAAGCCGGTGGCGAAAGGCGGTCGGCGGCGATGTTGGACGATGCTTTCAACCTTTATTTTGAGTCTAGTCACCAACTGATAGCTTAAATTCACTTTGTGTACTTTCTTGTGAGAATAGAAAGAGATGTTTCATGATTTTGGAAGCTTAAAAACTCACAGTTAATGGAGCAGCCATATCACAGGAGATGTTTTGTTGAAGGTTTGTTGCTTGCTTCATCGGTCATCACATTTCATTATTTATTTATTTTATTTTTTTTCTCTTTTTCCCTTTCCCTTTGGTAAGGGTATTTTTGTCATTTTCCTTAAGTCAACTGTAAAATCTGAATTAAGGGGTTGTGTGCTATATTTAACACAACATAAGGGGTTTCTTGGTAATTTTTTTATCATAGGGACTTTTCCGCCAATTAGAAATAACACAGGGGGGTCTGTGCTATTAGCTCCGAGTATATACGTAAGTAAATTAATAGTTGAGATTTAGGGCAGGGAACAATTTCTCCGGTGAAAGAATTTCTTGTTTTTCCCCAAATTCAATTATTGTGGAGATTGGTAGCATTTTTGTGGAGGATAAAGTTGCAGGGTTTGCCGGCGGAGGTGGCATCGGCGTCATCGTCGAGTTTGCCGGCGGAGAACGGGAGCAGTGTTAATGGTCAAAGGAAATCCCAAATTGTCATTCCAAAAATTCTCCAAATTTAGTTCAAATAAAATTTAGCTTTCATCTTTGAGTTGGTGGTGAAAAGTCACTCGGAGCAGGTTTTCTACGGCGGCGATACTAGTAGACAATTTTGGTTCTCTCATGTTTGCAGATTTTTCTCGACGAAGGAGGAGGAGGGTGCAGGTTTTTCATTTTCTCCTTTTCTTTTATTATTATTATTACTATTATTATTATTTGGTTTTTTTTCTTTCTTTTTTATTTAGTTTGACGAATGAAGGGGAATAGACACTTTTGACCCTGCCAAACTCACGTGAATGGCATGTGGTGTAAGATTCCGGTCAAAATTGCATTTTTAGGGCACCGTGCAACGAAAAATTAAGTTTAGGTAAAAACGTGCAAAAAAAAAATTGTTTGGGGGTAAAGTGCAAAACGGGTCATAGTTTAGGGGGTAAACTGCTTTTTACTCTTTGAAAGAAGATGATCATAATAAGTGTATCTTGACTTGTGAACATCAGATTGTGGTGCATCAGTAAGTGCAATTTTTGCACAAAACGAATACAAACTAGAGAATATTTCACGGAATCTAGAAGATTATGTTGAATTTGACACTATAAAGGTAGACGTACCAGAAGATTCACAACTGAGGGATAGTTGTAATTAACCAAATAGGAGCGTCTTCGAATTTGACTTTTGCTGATACTAATCTTTCTCTAGTGGCAGCTGCTTCTTCAGATACGGTATCTGAAACAATTGAAGTTGAATAGGCACTCACTAGAGGACGTCTTCAGACCCGGAATTCATCCCTATGTGTTAAGTGTATATTTATACACTTAATTGTACCTTTTAATTGGAGCTTTTGATGTGTTTTTACGATAATTGGTGCTTAATATGGTTATTAATTGTATTTTATGTGCAAATTGAAGAATTGGCAACTTTTGGGGTGAAAACTGCAAATTCAGAGAAAAAGTGGGCCAAAAGTGAAAAAATCAGATTTCTGAAGAATTAAAAGACCGCACGGCCGTGCGGATTTTAGTTCAAAATCTCACACGGCCGTCCGGGTGGACGTGAAGGCGCAGTGAAGGAATTTTAATTACACAAGGAAACCCGCCCTATTATATTTTTGCACCCTATTTAAAGGCCAAGAGCACACAATTAGATCGATCTTTTACCTTTTATCGTAACTATTAGTTTTTAGTTTTTTATCTTTTCTACACGCAATCAAGGAGCAAGAGAACGAAGACGAAGACTTGACGACTCTTCATCCTAGTTTTCCTTTTTCCTTTTCTTTTATGATTTTTATGAATTTTCGTATTTTTATTATGCTTTTCGTAACGAACATGAGTAGCTAAGTTTTTATTCTAGGATTTTATTGGAACCCTATGTGGTAACTCGAACCTATTTTTCTACTTTTATGCAAGTTTAATTCTTCGATTATTTCTTCTATCTTGATCGTATTTAGTGCATGAGCGTAGCTAACTTATGTTGCTATTTGTTATTGTTAGAATTGATTGACATATCGTTTTAATAATTAGAACAGGGATAGAAGAGCCTTCGAGTAGTTTTTCACCGAATGTGTGTGTTAATTGCATGTATTATCGTAGACATACAGATAATACCTTAGGTAGCCGTTTGCGAGACTTGCTATTTAATGCTTTATTTATACTAGGTTTGCATAGACATATAGTGAATCTTTTATGAATAATAGGTTTATAGCGCAGCGACAGCTGGTTATGAATAATTTCGTGTCTTGGGTTAATAATCGGGAATCGTAACTTGCATGATAGGAAATTAATTGGGTGAAGAATTATCGCATAGGGGGAAGATAAAATCCTAGATCCGTTTATTATTGATTTTTTCTCGTGATTACTTGCGTTCTTAATTAGTTTAATTTATTTAGTTAATTAATTTGACAACCCTGCGTAGGCTGTATAAAAATCACAATTGTTAGGATTTGGTACTTAGGCTTAAATAATTTGCGTATTCCCTGTGGGATCGACATCCGACTCTCACGAGTCTACTTTACTATTTGTTTGCGATACGTACACTTGCGTGTTGGTATTTAGCACCCAACAAGTTTTTGGCGCCGTTGCCGGGGAATACGGCTAAATTATTTATTTATCCTAATATTAAATTTGAGCAATTTTTCTTACTTCAGCCAATTTTTTTTTATTTAATTTTTTATTTTATTTTGTTTTAGGTACTTGTTATGCGAAGAGGACACGACACGAGCTTGCTACCTCTTGATCCCGAAATTGAGCGAACGTTTAGGCAAGACAGGAGAAATCAACGGTTAGCCCAAAACACTCCAGCAACGATGGAAGACGAGAATAATCGTGGGGAAGGTGACCAAAGGCAACCACCTAATGTGGCGAGAGAAATCGTCAACGAGCAAAACCAACGCCAGATAATTAATCCACCACCGCGTCAACGAGCCTTGCACGAGTACACCGTTCCGACACTCAATGGGTTCCAATCAAGCATCCAGCAGCCCCCCATTGAAGCTAACAATTTCGAGATTCGAGCGGGACTCCTCACGATGCTCCAAAACAATGGTCTATTCAGCGGACTGGCTC